GATTGTAAGTTTTTTATTTTGTTTAATTCATGTGAATGATTATTTGGGGTGAATTGCTTGATTGTGTTGAATCCATGTTACATAGCTAATTCTGATTGCTAGGGATAGGGGATGAGTGCTCTCGTTTAACGTGTATTTGTCTGGATTGAATTGTTCGTTCTTATGTGAGTTGATTTAATTCGAATTGATAGAATCTTGTGCGATTGATTGATATAATCGAAGAGTGACACTTCGATCTTGCAATTGGTCACAACTGAATGTTAATTTGTCGAGTTAAGGTTTGTTAATTCCATATGATTAGTTGATTACCTTCTAATTGAATTAGCGACTTTTAGAACTGGAAGAGGAGAAGTCGTAGACCTATGCTTGCATGAGGTAGATGATTTTGTAACTAAATCTACATGTTTTGGATTTAAAATACGCGTTCGTCGATGAACCGTCCCTTGTTACAAAAAGTTATTGGGATTGGGATAATTGGCCTGTGTTGGCTTGTTCGTCTATGTTCAATCCCTTGTTCGTCTATGTTCAATTCCTTGTTACGAAGAGTTTTTGGGAGCGAACGGCTAGATGTTTAAGCGAGAGTGTCAATCTAGAATAGAATGATTAATGTCCCGGTGTGCAAATTGAACTTGAATTAATTGTTCCCGACTCTCTAGCTTCTTCATCTTTGTTTAGCTTATATTTTAAGTAGATTATTGTGTTTATTTTATTTCTTAGTTAATAATTATTCAAACTCCTATTTGATTAGAGTTTTTAGAATTTATTTTCTTTTTATGTGTGATCGATACCAAAGCTGATTCCGAACTGCCTTCCTCGTGAGATCGACCCGTGGAACAAATCTTTCGATTCGGTACTCGTAAAAAAATAACAATTTGTTACACAACAGGAGTTTTTGCAGGCACTCGGTGTTCTATGGGCGAGGAAGACAAAGGCAGGCCGATTTCCAGCCTGTTTGACAACTGTAAACCGATATTTACCAAAATTGTGTTCCACTTGGTAATTGCGAATTTCATAGACACCTCATTTCTAATTCTTTGGTGATTTTCGAAATGCTAACACCATGAAATAAAATTATAGTGAATATATGTAATATTGTGATGATTACTAAAGATATGATTTATGAGGTGACTTTAATTTTATATGGAATATAAGAAAAGTTGTTACCTTGAAGTGTGGATTTTGACTATATCTTTTTGAAATATTTTTGTTTTGTTATGTTTTCCCAGAGATTTGGAATTTCGATTGTATCTTTTGTAAAACATTATTTACAAAAATAATTGCGTTAAAAAAAAATAACGATATTTTATCATTGGTAGCTCAAAACTAAGTAAATAAATCGCATGAAATGTAAATCACATTTTTTTAAGGAAACAAAATGTTTCATAATTAAATTGAATTGTGCATATTAAATTTTATTTTGCGTTGATCTTGTGTATATATCTTTTACATAAGACAATCTACTTTTGCTTGGATTCATAATGTATAACTTTTTTTTATGTGGAAATCAAATCTTTTAATGTATATGTAAATGATAAGATTGAATGCTTATCTTGTATCATGAAAATACAAATGCTATTTATTCAAAGAAAGTTTGTAACATTTTGCAAGGAAAGTGTCAAATTATTGTAGTTATTTATCTCGCACATTTATAGCTTAATTTTATTAAAAAAAAAAATTGAGAATATAAGATATCAATTCTATTGCGGTTTTAAATTTTTTTTGTTAAAACAAAACACGTAATGTATAGAATTAGAATGATATTTTATTTTTTTAATCAGTGATTTTAAAAGATCTGC